AAGTGTTTAATATACATATTTTTTTTTTTTTTCTTTTTTTTTTTTTTTTTTTTGTCCTCCTCCAGTTTTGGCTCTGCCCAACTCCGGACAGCCTGCAATGTAAAATCAAGTGCATTTTAAAAATACCGAAATGAGCTACACTGGAAATGCACCAATTGGATTAAGAGATTGTGGGTTGGGAGGCTGCAGCGTGGTCTGCGCCACGCGTCCCTCGGTCACCACCAGAAAAAGCCTTATCCGGGGAGGGAGGGGAACAGCAGCCGCAGCCCTGGCGGCGATGCAGAGCTCCTGGGGCTGGGGAGCTGCGTCCCAGCCCCACGCAGAGCAGCGCTGGTGCCCCTGTGCAGCCCCAGGAGAGAACAGCAATTTTAGAGGAGGCTGCCTGACCTATTTTCGAGCTGCCTGCCAGGGGCCAGGCAGGGATTCACCCAGATGGAGCTGCCTGCAGGTGCCCCCGCGCCATTTGGGGCTCTGTGCCTTGCTCAGGGGCTGTGTACCACGCTGTGGGGGCTCTATACATTGCTCCGGGGGCTCCATGCATTGCTCTGGGGCTGTGTACACCGCTCCGGGACTTCTGTGCATTGCACTGGGGCTGTGTACACTACTCCAGGGGCTCTGTGCGTTGCTCTGGGGCTCCGTACACTGCTCCGGGGGGCTCTGTTTGTTTCTGTGGGGCTGTGTAGTCTGCTCCAGGGGCTCTGCACATCGCTGTCATCTTGCAGCTTCGCTTAAAAAATGCTCCTGCTGCCGAAGCTGCTGCCCCCTCCCGTCCAGCCGCACACTGTCCGCAGCAGGCAGGCTGCATCACTGCCACGTCGCAGCCTCCGTCAGCATCTCCGCGACGGCCGCTCACTGCCTGTGTCTCCGGACACGCCAGGGCCCAGCAGGCCCAGCACCGATGGCCTTTTGCTCCTGCGGCGCCTGGCCGGCCCCACGGGGACCCTCGTCACCCGGGTGCGGGACGTGCGAGGCAGGCGCTGCCCACCCTCACCAGCAGCCGGGGCCAGGCAGCGTCCCTGCCTGCCACCGCGACGTTGGGTCCCTGCACCCCGGCAGGCACAGCGCTGCCGCGGGCAATCTCCTGCTGTACATAGATCCTTTCGGGGTGGTTTTTAGCATTTTCATTGATAAACGGGGGGTTTGGTTTTGTTGTTTTGTCTGATTTTTTTTAAAGGACTCTCTACTTTTGGAATGTGGTTTCTCATTTTTACAACTGCCTTTTAATTATTTGTAATATTGGTCAGTTCTCTCTTACTCTGTAAATAGCAGTGCTGGGCATTTCCCGCGGGGCCGGGGCTGAGCTGAGGCCGGCAAGGGATTAGCGAAGGCAACGGGGAAAATCTGCTTGAGGTGTGGAGGTGGCTGGTTCGGCCCCGGCCCCCGCGCAGCCCCTGCCCCTGTCCTCCCCACACGCCAGCGCCCGGCCCGGGGCGAAGCCCGAGGTGCTTCGGGCAAAGCCGCGCTTGTCCCTGCCCTGTCCTCCTGCTTCCTCTCGCCAGGTCGCATGAAGGGCACCTTCTGCCCCGATGACGGGTCCCCTGCCTGCCCGTCCCACACCCCTGTACCGTGCCTGCTTGTCCTGTGATGAATAAAGGCCCTGCAACCCCTCACCCACACCCTCGGTGCTGCCTTCCCGTGCTGCGGTGTGTGGGACCGTGATGCCTGTCCTGTCTGGGGAACTGGTGCTGCTGCGGAGGGGAGTGTGGGAGGGCTGGAGCACCCATGGGTGGGGAGATGACTCTAGATCATGTCCCTTTGTCCCCACCATCCTGCCAGCTGCCCAGCTCACACATGGTGTCCCATCCTCTCCTTACCCGTCTGTCTCTATCCCCGATACCATCTCCATGTGCTGATCCCAACTGTGCCATCAGGGCTCCTTGTCATCGCCCATGGGTCCTCCATGGCCTCACTGCCAAGGCTGTCACATCGCACCAGGCTCCTCTCAGCTCTGCATTGTTCTTGTGATGCTGGTGTTTCTCATGCCTCCCCTGTCCTGTCCCATCCTGTCCTGTCCTGCCCAGCAGATTGCTCCAGCCTGCACGCAGACCCTACATCCTCTTTCCCCTCACTGCCCATGGCTTCTTGCCCCTGTGACCCTCATCACCTGCAGGTCCCAGCCTCCTCCAGGCTCACTACATTAAACTGTTCCTCCCTGGGGTCCTCCCATCACTCACCATGACCCACCCCTCCTTCTTTTGCTCCTCAATCATCCTTCATGTCCCATTCCTTTCATCCCTACTCTTTGATCCCCCATGTCCCATCCTTCCTGCTTGTTATCCTCCATCCTCAATCACATTCCTTTCTTCCTTCATGTGCTCTTTCATTGCCCACCATGTCCCATCCCTCTTTATTCTGCTCTTTCACCACCCACCTAACCCAACCCAGCTTGCCTTCCTGTGCTCCTCCATCACCCACCCACCCCATTCCTCTTTCCCATGCTCCATCACCCACTGTAACCCATCCCTTTTCCTCTGTACCTCCATCTTTCATGTCCCACCTCTCCCTCTACTGCTCATCTGTTGTCCACCCATCCCATCCCTCCTTCCTGTGCTGTCACCCACTGTGCCCCATCCTTCCTTTCTGTGCTCCTGCATCAGCCACCATGTCCTATTGCTTCATGTGCCCCACCATCACCCACTGCTTCCCATCCATCCCTGTTCTCTTCCACCCCCTTCACATCCCATCCTTCTTTCACCCTCCTTCCAGAGTGTGCCGTCATCCACTCTGTCTCATTGCTCCCTGCCATGCCATACTCCTCCATTACCCACCATGTCCCTTCCTTCCCTCTTGTGCTCCCACATCCTACATGTCCTGTCCCTCCCTATTGTTCACCTCCATCACCCACCACACCCCATCCCTTCTTCCTGCACTCTTCCATCACCCACCACACCCCATCCCTCCTTCTGGTGATCCTCCATTGCCCTTCATATCTCACCTTCCTGTCTTCCTGTCACGCTTGCATCCCATCCCTCTCACCTGCTCCTCCTTCATCCATATCCTATTCCTTGTTATCCTCATCCACCTCCCACCATCTCCTCATGTATTCTCTTCTTTCTCCACTTCTCCACCTCCACCCCATCCCATCCCATCCATCTTTATCCTACTTTGCCTCCAGTTTTTCTTTCCCTTTCATATTCCTCCTTATGTCAGTATCTCACCATCCCTTCTCATCCTTCATCAGCTCCCACCACCACTCAGTCCTCCTCTACATCTTACCATCTTATCCCTGCTTATCCTCCGTTAGCTCCCACCATCACCCCAACCCTCCTCCATCTCTCATCTTCTCCCCATGTTTCTTCATCCTCTTCTACCTCTTCCTATCTCCTTATGCCCCTCATCTTCTTCCCCTTCCCCATCCCAAAATCCACCCTTACCTCCCACCATTGCCCCATTCCTCCAGCTGCCAACATCACCCAATCCCACCTCCTCCTCTTACACCCACACATTTCCAATCCCCACCTTGTGCTTCTGTTTCCTACCAACTACTCATCCATCCTCCTCTATTGCCCTCCAATCTTTGTCTTCCTCTACCCCGTAAATGTATAACCATCCCTCCTGTCATCCTTGTCTATCTCCTACTTTCTCCCCAGCGCTCCTCGTCTTCCTTCATCTCCATCTCCCCTTCCCTCCTTGTCCTCCACCACCTTCAATATCATCTCTTTGTTTTCCTCTTCCATTTCGCCCATTTCTTCATCCTCCTCCATCTCCTACTGTGTCCCATCCTTCCCCATGCCCCAACACTGCTGACTATTTGCCTGTTCTTCCTCATCCTCCACTTCTACCATCCGTCCAGTCCTCATCCTCTTCCACCCTCTCTTTTCCTCTTCATTGTCCTTCACTTTCCTCTGTCACCTGTACCTCATTGGCCTCCACTTTCCACCACCTCCCTTCTCCTTCATTCTGCATCTCAATCCTCTTCTTCCTCTACCTCAGTCTCTCCATCCTTCCTGTGGACCTCCACCTCCCATTGTTCCCCATCCTTTTTCATGCTCTTTCACCTCTTGCCCTGTCCCTCCTCAACCTCTGGCTATCTCACCATGCCTTGTCATTTGCCTCCCACAGTCTCCCTGTTTCTCCTTATACTCC